CCCTAAACCCTACTCCCTGAAAAATAAACCCGAAACCCTAAACCCTATAAGTTCTCAAGGTTGTCCTAATCTGGGGCCCAGAGTCTCCATTGTATTTTATAGGGGCCTACAAAGTTACCAATACTATGTTGGAGGCTCCTTATTCTAGTTACATAGTATAAAATACCTAGGGGCCTAAGTACTAGTAATATACCACAAAAACCTATCTAATTATTATGGCCCCTACTATAGAACCCTATCATAGCTCCCTTATAGAACCCTTTAAGGATCCCTGTAAAGGAACCCTATTCTAGGGCCCTCAGGGATCCGCGGCCCGCGTTGGTGAACACGTCTCTGGGCGCTTTCCATGGGTGGGAAAACCGTGTCCTTGAAGGCACGTGGAATTGATAAAAGCTTAAACCCTAAAACAGACTTGCGCATGCCGAGCTCAAGCAAGATAAAACATATCTTGAGGTTTCCGAAAACAGGGGACCCTAATGTAGTACCCTAAAAATAGTAGGATCCTTATTCTGAGGACACCCTAAAAATAGTAGGATCCTTATTATGAGGACACCAAAATAAGGTACCCCGTATTTTCGGAAACAAGAATCAGCGACCAACAGTACGAGTGAGATTCTGGAAACACTCGTGACCGGAAGATCAGATCGCAAAGATTCGCATCGAAACGATAAGCTTGGACATCGCTCCTGGTTCCCTGTTGCGGGCTAATTTAAACATGTTCATGTTGAATCCTCATCGGGTTTTATTATAACAAAACTGTAAAATTGTAGCCAACAACAACCCAGGCTCCTTGAAACACATGTCCTATAGCACCTAGTCTGATCACACGAGGTGTGGGGCTCGATGCCTCAGGAGGAGCCTTTGGCAGGGCCTGGGATGGCAGGGGCCATCACCATCTGGGGCTGAAGAGGCGTGAGGGCCTGTGTCATGGTCCCTCCCTTCCCTCCCCTTCCCTTCCCCACATCCTTCCCTTTTCCTCCCTTCCCTCCTCCTTTCCACAGCTCGCCCCCATATCCCTTTGCCCCCTCCGGCCTGGTCTGTGGAGGCACTTCCGGGTCTGATTCTACGACCTTTCCCATGATCACCGGCACGGGTGGCATAGCCTGCGACTGCATCCCCGGTGGAACCGATGGCATACTTCCTGGCATCTTCAAAGGCAAAGGCGCGAGCCAAATGCCAACATCCAGCTCCGAGTACCGGTACCCCTTCCTCTCGAGCCATGCAACCTGCGCCTTTTGGATATCCTCGAGGCCCGCAGAGCTCCGCAGAAACTGGGCGTCCTCTTCCGAAAGCCTGCCTGAATCTCGGAAAAGCCGTCGCACTTCGCGGCTGTATCGAGAGGTCCCATCTTCCCCTGCCTCGCGGGAAAGGTTGTCAAGCCCGGCCATTCGCAACGCCTGGAATTCCCCAGAGTGCTGGAACTGCTCGAAGAGCTGGTTTAGCTTCTCCCGGCGCTCGTGCTCGGCGGCAAGAGTCTGGAAGCTTTGCGCTTTGCCTTTGCCGACAGAGTTTCTGCAGTAATAGACGTGGAGCTGGGCACCCTGCTTTACAGCTTCGTCAACATTCTGAGTCCAGATGCTAAACCATCGGCATCCGCACTGCTTCTGCTGGCCGAAGAGCGCATAGCACCAGCAATCTCCTGGGATCTCTTCCTCTAAGGGGATCGCAACGTGCTCCGGTATGTCATCACGCAAAAAGACCACTGCAGCACTAAGTGTCCCTCTGTTGGCCTGAAGTAGAGCATCCCAAGCAGCTTTTACTTCCGCGGCCAAGAGACCACACAGGGTCTCCCCACTCCTAGTTCATGGTTGGGGTAGTATTAAAAATTTAAACTTATATTCCTTATTGGGTTTAAGTACCCTTAAAAATGTAAAATGTTACCCAACTATGACAAAGACTCCGGCAAGCACCGAGCCTTGGAAAACGAGGGAAGCCTCGGAAGCCGGAGCCTCCACATTGTGGCCCTTCGACTCTGGGAACAACTCAATCCCAAGTGTTTTTGCCAGACCCGGGCACAAGGAGCCGACGCATGCAGCAAAAAGACCCAGGCTGAGCCAGGGAATGGTAAGGAGAAGCGCGAGTGGAAGTGGGATGTTATCCGACCGCGCAACTTCATTACAGCAACAATTAGCGAAGCGCCAAAACCATGTTTTGTTCTTCTTTTGCCCTGTCCCTGACTCTGGTGACTGCGCCGCCGTTTTCCTCTCGTTGCGATACTTTTCTCGCATCACTTCCTGCTCCGCTGCTTTGTCTAGTTGCCTTGCCGCTTCACTGAAGCTCCCAAAAGACTCTGATGCCCTCAACTGGCCCATCGCGAACCACTCCCCGTGCACCTCAGGGTGCTCACGCAGTCGAACCTTTAGTGTCCCAGCCGATGCGACTGGAAGGATCCTGCCCGGGGAAAGCACCTGCCAAGCTCCTGCCAGGAATACTTCGACTGCTGCCTGCAAGTCATTCAGAATCGAAGCTCCCTGCGCGTTCGAGGCCGACATTGCGGGTGGTTTAGGGCTTAGCGTTAGGAGTATTTGCAGGAGCAGTGAGTGGTATCGAGATTGCTGCCATGCTGCACTTGTCATGTTATGGTGCTGCCCAGCCTGCTTTTGCACGCAAACGCAAAACAACTCCTGACGTAAGGTCCACTTGGGGAACAGCATGCCTGTGTTTAGGGAAGCCCTAAACCCAAAACCTGTTTTGATTCCACCGAAGACTAGGAACTACTATAACCCTAAACCCTAAACCCTAAACCCTAAACCCTAAACCCTAAAGGCAAGTCCCTGGGGGTTTCCCGGATACCATGGGGCAGTATAACAGAAGAAGTTGCTGCAAGAGCTCGAAAGTACTGCAAATA